AGGTTGGTATCGGAAAATATGAAATTTTTCTACGGTAAAGTTCTTTTTCATAAAAACTGTTTTATGACAGGGGGAGGAAATAAAAAAACCGCGAAACTTTTGTCTTTTCAGATGACGTCGGAAAATTGAAATTTTCCTACAGTAAAATTTGGTGGTCGCATGACATGCGACATGACTCATTATTATTGCATAAACATGTGTTCGTCAAAAAATTTGTTCGCGTTAGAATCCACATAATTTGACAATTGTTCAAAAAAAGGCTCGTGTCAATTGGTCGAAAGAAATGCTTAAAAAATACGATCGCGGTGACGCAAATCGTGACTGAAAATAAGCAACAGTCGATTAACTGGGATTTTCAAGTTGAGCCAAATTCTACCACAAAGCACTTCAAAGCAAATGGTCGCTTGTTTTTCAAAAAAAAAAAAAAAAAAAAAAATAGATATAACGCAACGCTATTGAAAGAACGGTTAATTCTGAATTGTAGAAATAATGAAAACCAACCGTCGCACACTGGGGCAAGAAGCCCTCAAATTTGGCAATAAATAAAAAAATTAAATAGCACATACACTCTACCTCATATTTTTTTCTTATATATTACTGTCCACTACGTAATAAAAGGAACAAGTGCGATCTTCTGCCTCACGCGTTTCATCACCATCCTCAGTCGAAGTTACTTATCTGAGACGAGTATATTATATTCATTGTTATTTCGTAGTTTTTAACTTGTTTTTGTGCTGTGTTTAGGCTGTATTTTGATTTTTTTTTTCAAATTTCCGCCATCGAGCCTTTAAGTTCAGCTATGTATTATTATTTTAAAAAGTAAAAAGTTGTAGAAAAATAAACGTAATCTTATAATATTGGGGTTAAATAAAATGAAGGTTAAACGTTAAAATTTTAAAATATTCTTAAATACATGAAGGCTATTTGTTGTGTTCCAAAGCAGTCCAAGCTTTAAATTTTGACTTTTCATAATGAATATTGTTTGTACTTTTCGAAATCGTTTAGTTTCTGTGCACTTATTTGCACTTTTCTTCACTATTTGGGTTTTTTCAAAGTATATAAATATATGGCGGGACGATCATCAAAAACGAATTCTGTCTTTTTTAATATATTTCGTTTATTAATAAATCGATTTTATTGTCCTTAGGCTCATTTTATAGGCAACTAAATATGCTTCCAGACAGACATAACAAAATGCTAGAAATGTAAAATTTAAGATGACCTAATTGAAGAAAAAAAAACGAGCCTAACAGTAACCCATTTAAAACTCGTTTTGCGTAATAATTATGAATTAAATATAAAATCTAACAACAAAAGTTAAGTATCTAACCTATTTTCTTTATTTTAAGACCTCTCCGAGCACGATTGGTCCATTCAATCGTAAGATATAGACAATCAAAATTATCTGGTTTTATGTTTTCATAGAAGCTTATAATAACACATCATTATGCTTTGCAACGCTGCTATTTTAGTTTTTGACCGATTTGAACTCAAAGGGTCTGATTTGGTAGGTATGTAAATATACTTTCAGACCATTAAATTAAAATGGCGGAAATTTTAAATTCCAGGATGGCGAACCTAATTGAAATATGAGTCGATTTAGAGCTAGTTTATTTTGCACAAATACTTTATACATGGGCCTGAAATAATATCTTCTGCTTTGTTGCCTATAGACCAATTAACAGAGAAAACTAATGAGGACGTCTTTAATTCGTTTTTACTTAGTTTCGACCTTGTAATCACGAGCAAACGAAAATTAGAAAAGAAAGAACCTGCAGCAGTTTCCTAAAGAAGCAGTAGATTTGTTTAAATCTGGACTCGTCTAGCTTCATAGCCATGGTATATTCATGACACTGATGATGACCGTGGAGACGATGAAGAAAATGTCTTATCACATTCTAAAGAGGATGAAATTTGATTACTATTATCATAGCTTTTCTAAATGAAATTATTATAATATTACATTTTTATTATATGTATCTTTAACTTGTGGAGGGTGGATTACCCCCGCGGCACTTAGGCCTCATTAGGTCCATGACATTTTTATTATATTATATGTTAGTATTACAAAAGAAAATACATGGAGGGCTCAATAGAATATACAATTTTAATATATTATATTATTAATAACTTTCTTTTTTTTTAGCAAACACTTTAAGGGCCCTCTATGTATTTTCATTTGTAATACTAACACCTCTACAAAGCAATATTTAACTTACAAATTCATAAAAAGAGTCTGTGATTTATTGCCAACTTTGATGGCTTGTTGCCCCAGTGTGCGTCGAAGACAATCTTTCTACACCACGACAATGCCGTATAGTCCTGATTTGACACGCAATGATTTCTTTTTATTCTCGAACGTCAAAAATAAATAGTCAACATTTTTCGACACCTTAAGAAGTGGTTGATTTTGTCAAAAAGCCGGTTTTTAAGGAACCTCAATCGGAGTGGAAAAAGTACATCGAAAATTGGTTTAAATGCATACAAATGTGTATTGATCTTCATGGAGAATATTTTGAAAAACATAGAGCCATTTTCGAAGATACACATTTATTTTTCTTCTCTAAACCCAAAATATAAAAGGCAACACTCTTATAGACCAAATCTAACGGGTATTTTGAATTTTGTACCCAAAAATATCTAGAAAGTTATACAATTTCGGACACCAAAATTCTGTTGGGTTGTGTAATCGATTGTAATCCACAGTACGTCCACCCCTGCGTTGCTTGATTACCATATATTTAAAACTTCATCAGTGGCTTCATTTTTACGGATCTACCACATTTTTGCTCTGCTAAAATTCTCGAAAACGCTGCTTTTTCCAGCGCGCATCGCCCGAACATGTCAAAACCCAACATGTTTATTATCAATTGATCTTTCAATTTCGCTGCAGAAGAAGCATGTAATCATTGTATTACATAACATAGAAAAATCGACCTGTTCAGGCATCGCACAGTAGAAAAGGCAGCGTTTCCGTGAATTTTCGCAGAGAAAAAGTGACGTACTTATAAAAATGAAGCTAAATTTTAAATATCTGATAATCAAGCAAAGCATGGATGGACGTACTGTGGACTATCGCACAAAGTTATTAAGTATTCATTGATGTAAAATTAATAGTTAATGGAAAATGATATCCTAACTTCATTTAATTATTTTTAAGGACCAAAAAACCTATGATCTTAAAACTTATTTACTTTCAATTGGCAGACATTTTTCAAACAAAATTGGCAATTTTTGAAGATAAACTCATTTTTAACGGAGGCGAATTTAGCGAAAAGGTACAAATTTCCAATCTTGAAAATATTAGACGTGAACTCAACAGAAACATAATATTGAGGTAGTAAAAAATATATTCACCCCTTCTTGTTGACCTTAAAAGTAAAAATAAATAAAAAATGACTAAATAAACGTAAATAATAATTACTAAAACATATTGAATAGATAAAAAGTAAAAAAAAAATCGTTCAATAAACCAGTAAATTATTGCCATTTCGATCTAATTACTTACTACTCAGCAATACTGAACGAATATACCGGAAGTCAGTTTTTTTCTCTCAAATATACTCCCGTGAACTGCAAAAGATAGAAATTTTCGAGTAAAGTACCAAAGAAAACTTTTTTTTTTACATAAAAGGATATTTAAATTTAATTTTTTATTTGTTGTTATAGTAAGAAGATATATTATTTAATTTGTTGCCAAAGAAAATGTGTTGTTTTCAATAAAACATGGATATTTTAATTTAATTTTTATCTTGATTGCATCTTGCGTAATGAATCGATGGAATGGAAAATAAGCTGAAATTCACAAAAATGTATCCGGAATTCTTGGTTCCCTTAAATTTACCCATCACTAGGTCTGATGCACTTTAGACAAAGAGATTTTAGATGAAATGCAATTTAGACCAATTGATTTTTCGATAAAATGTATTTAGATCAATAATTGATATTAGACTAAAGGACCCCGCAATAATCTTATGGAAATTGGGTTTCTGTCAAATTGTCTGAATTTTTGATATGTTGTAGATTTGGTCATCCTGAACAAAAGGCTCCATGGGCACAAAGTGCCAAAATGAATATTTTGGCAGCTACGGAGCTGCCAAAGCTCCCCTGACCCGTTGCAAAACTATTTATTTTCAATACTATTTACAGATGTCAAAAGCATATTTCAATTATTGTAATATGTAGGATAATGTTTTTCAGGTCACTGGATTCAACACTCATGTCAGATTGGACAAATTGACCGTTGTCAGCTGTCAATACACTGTCAACGAAGTAAATATTCTCTGTTGACATTGAGAGTTTGGGCTTTTGAGGGAGCTGAATTCAATTCTAATCTCAGATTGGAAATTATGACAGTTGACAGCTGTCAATTCACTGTCAACGAAGAATAGAGAAGTAAATATTCTCTGTTGACATTGAGAGTTTGGGTTCTTAAGGTCGCTGAATTCAATTATCATGCCAGATTGGCAAAATTGACAGTTGACAGCTGTCAATTGACTGTCAACGAAGAATAGAAAAGTAAATATTCTCTGTTGACATTAAAAGTTTGTGCTTTTGAGGGAGCTGAATTCAATTCTAATCTCAGATTGGAAAAATTGACAGTTTGACAGCTGTCAATTCACTGTCAACGAAGAATAGAGAAGTAAATATTATCTGTTGACATTGAGTTGAGTCAATTGACAGCTGTTAACTGTCAATTTTGCCAATCTGGCATGATAATTGAATTCAGCGACCTCAAGAACCCAAACTCTCAATGTCAACAGAGAATATTTACTTCTCTATTCTTCGTTATCAGTGAATTGACAGCTGTCCACTGTCAATTTTTCCAATCTGAGATTAGAATTGAATTCAGCTCCCTCAAAAGCACAAACTTTTAATGTCAACAGAGAATATTTACTTTTCTATTCTTCGTTGACAGTGTATTGACAGCTGTCAACGGTCAATTTGTCCAATCTGACGTAAGGGTTGAATCCAGTGACCTCCAAAACATTACCCTATATATTAGAATAATTAAAATATGCTTCTGAAATCTGTAAATAGTATTGAAAATGAATAGTTTTGCAACGGCTCAGGGGAGCTTTGGCAGCCCCGTAGCTGCCAAAATATTCATTTTGGCACTTTGTGCCCATGGAGACTTTTGTTCAGGATGACAAAATCTACAACATATTAAAAATTCAGACAATTTGACAGAAACCCAATTTCCATAAGATTATTGCGGGGTCCTTTATTTAGAAGTTTTTTAGGAACCACATATTTTGTAATATAGGCAAACCACTGTAGTTTTACTGTAAACACAATTATTAAAGAAACATTTCATAAACCTAAACAAAATATTATACAGGGTTGTGCAGTGGGCGGAACATCAATTTCGAACTTGATTGGACAAGTAACAAAAAAATCTCGGAAAGCTCGATTGTTTTTTTTTAGATACGCATTGTTTGATACACGTATATTTTAATGAAAGTGTGGTGATTTCATTATCTAGCTTTTTAATTTCACCCTGTAGGATATGATTTCTGACTTTGATTATTAATCAAAAAACGGTTGTTAGTAATAAAGATTACGAAAATCTATCATCAGTTTATATAGAACCAGGTCCGCTCCTAAAAACGGCAATTAATACCTAAATACAAATTTGTTACTAAAAAATGTATAGTTTGATGTAGGCGGACCAAACTGGTTAACGAACAAAGGGCCACGAAAACGACAATGGCGGGCCGCATGCAGCCCGCGGGCCGTATGTTGTGTAGGCCTACTCTAGGATATGATTTTGGACTTTGATTACTAATCAAAAAACGGTTGTCAGTGATAAAGATTACAAAAATCTATAAATTGTATGATCACTATTCGAGATATGACATTATCAACGATTTTTTTTTTAAATGGCAATATCTTTTTTTTATAGTACTACTACATAGAACACATTTTTTCGCGTCCGTACGCCAAATTTCGTGATATGTCGACAATATTTTTGACCTGAAAAATATTGTTTTGTAACATTTGGAGTCTACATGCAAAAATATGCTTTAATTGAAGACTACCCAAACATTTTTAGGAACTTCACCACAAATGAAATCAGTCATAGTCATCAATATTTTCAAATACCAATAACCCATGTTTACCACATTGTCATAATAATGTCCACACACTAGTGTACCAAATAAAGAAAAGAACACAGAAACTCTGTAATTATATGTAAATAAATATTTTGAATATGCTCTTTTAATTAATACCAAATTTCTATCAATTGCAGTTCACAATCCAGCCGCTTTCTCTATAACAAAAAAAATCCAGACAATCTGTATACTTATATACTTATTACTTTCCATTAGTTTTCTTTTTATTAATGTGTAAAGCAAAAAAGGTAAAAAGATACCAAAAAAAAATAAAATTAATTAAAATAAATATGTATAAAATACGACCGAATCGACGCTCAATCCTCCCAATCGGAATTGGTCGAATCAGACATGTCATCGTCGTCCTCCGAATGTATGACTTCGCTGCGTTTTGCCAGCGCTCGTGCCAGAGCGCACGCTAGATCGTCACTTTTCGACATGGGCGAGTTCGAGACGGGCTTTATGTCTCGCTCGTCCACGGGACGAAGTTTGCATCCTTTTCTGATCTCGCTCAGCAGATCTCCTCGAGTATCCTCCTGTGGCGCTGGCGTTCGGTCTTCTACTGGCTGCAAAAACAAGAAGAAAATGAAAGTAAAACTATTAATCTCACACACTGTAGACCGAGGATAAATCATATCGCTCATGGCATGCATCAGTTGCATAATTCGAAAAATACGATTTTTTAAGTAGGCACAAGGTTATATCGCTCACCGAGGGCAATAGTGGAACAACTAAAAATTTTTCAAAAATAATAGATAAATATAGCATTAAACGTTAAATTTAATACCTTTTCTTTTAGCAAGATTGGCACAATCGTCACTAAACCATCATAATAGGCTGCACATATTCAGCATGCCATTTACAATTAAAGAAGGTTTTGGCAATAGTGACACTTGCTTTTGAGTTGTACGAATTGATTTAGTAATAAAGTGCCAAAAAATAATGACAAATTTTTAAATATGACAGTATAGACTTTATATTTTAACTGTTTAATACAGTATTCAAGTGACGAAAAATAGTGACACGTTATTAAATATGCCAGTATAGATTGTTAACTAATAAAAAACTATAATTTATGGTCTTGTCAACAGTGGCACATCTTATCAAATCTTATCAAGTTGAGAAAAAAATCGGACCAAATCATTCTCTATGAATTTATAATCTAAAAACTATCTATATTCGGTAATAAAATCAAAATTTTAAAACTCAATTTATTTTCAAAATTACTATTTTTGAGATGTGCCATAATTGCTTTCAGTGAGCGATGTGAAAAATTACATTCTGAGAGTAATACAGTCACATCTCTTAACGCTTCTTTGGTCCCCAGGTGGCAGAAGTGTCCTTATTGCAGTTTCTGCAGTCATTGACATTGGCTGCAGATCGTTTAGTGGGACACCTTCACCTCATCAATAAAGACCATTTTTGGGTTGCATCGGTATTGCAGAAATATTTTTCTTTCATCGCATATTTCACATTGCAGTACTGCAGCGTTGAAGAAATAATAGTCCTTATCTGATCATGTACTAAGTTAGTTGCTGGAAGCACCTACGGACTTTTTTGTGTATTTCAACTTTCCCTATTTATTAATAAAGTAAATTTTTCTATTTTTCCGTTTTGATTGGGACCAAAATCATCATGATGCAACATTGCTGCAACAGTGGCAGAACTCCAAAAAATACGATTTTTGAAATACATGGTATAATGTGAAAAAATACTTTCTAGAAGCAATACTGGCGAGTCTCTAGAGGCTTCTTTGATCACGAGGAGGCAGAAGTGTCGTTAATGCATTTTCAGCAGAATATTGGCTGCAGATTGTCTCCAATGCAGACATTTATTAATAAAGTACATGTTATAATGTGAAAAACTACTTATTTCTAGAAGAAATACTGGCACATCTCTAAACGCTTCTTTGATCCCCAGGAGGCAGAAGTTATTGCATTTTGTGCAGTCATTATTATTGGCTGCAGATCGTCTCCAATATCGAAATATCTTAGTATTTATGTCAAACGTATAGTGGGACATCTTGACCTTCGCCTCATCAATAGTTAAACTTTTGAGTTGCGTGGGTATTGCAGAAATATTCGTTTTTCTTTCGTCGCACTTTCACATTACACTACTGCAGTGTCAAAGAAATAATAGTTCTTATCTGGTCATGTACTAAGTTAGTTACTAGAAGCATTACTACGTACTTTTTTGTGAATTTAAACTTTCCATATTTTTTAATAAAGTTTCTTTTTGTATTTTTTCGTTTTGTTTAAGACCAAGGAAATCCTGATGCAACATTGTTGCAACAGTGGCACAACTCCAAAAAAAATACGATTATTGAAATAAGTATAGGTTATAACGACATTCTTTCTGACACATCTCTAAACGTTTATTTTATCCACTGATCTGTATTATTTTACTGGATAGGATATAGGCTATATTTAACATACTAAAAAATCGTTCCACTAAGGAGACCGGAAGTGCAACAATGCTGGCCGATTTGGGCAAATTATGGCGGGTTCACAGAACTGAAATTTGGGATAATTTGACATACCTAACCTATAATTTGATTAGTTTTTCTTCTTATTCTTCTTCTATTACTTTTGCGGGCGATGTCCTTTGGGAAATTTCACCCATGATTTGATTTTTTATGAAAGAAAATATAAAAATGGAAACGTGAAGCATATTGTGTCTTCAGGAATGAACGTTTATTGTTTATTTCATACTCTTTTTACTTTGTTTTCCACAATAAAAACATCTCATCGTAGCTTGTTGACACAATTAAATGACAAATGTGATGACAAATGTAAATAGAGGTTACGTTAAATAACATCCGGTCCGCCATATTATTTGCCCAAATCGGCCAATTTTTCGGAACGTTTTTTAGGGGGCTATATCCTATCCAGTAAAATAATACAGATCAGTGATTTTATCCCTATGTGACAGAAGTCTCGTTATTTAATTTTCTGCGAGTCATTGATATCGGCTGATCGTTTCCAATATTGTACATTTCTGAGTATTTATGTCCGACATTTGTTGTGACACCTACATCTTTGCCTAATTAATAGTGACACTTTGAGGTTTATTGGTGTTGCAAATGTTAAATATGTTGCTGCACAACCTACTAAGTAAGTGAACTGTCATTCTGTCTAGAAAAGTAAGTTGTCGGTTGTCACTAAAGTATTGGCAGTTACAAGTTGCTTGCATTTTTCTATTCAATATACGTTTCCTAATTTACCTAAAAAGGTGTTTGATTTTATTCCCATAAAAGGTTATAGACCCAGATTACGTAAAATAAAGAAACAAGGAAACCATAGATAATAAATTGAAACATGATGAATGTATACACAAATGTACCCATGTTAACAGCCAACAATTACAACAACTGGAAGTTCAGAATAGTAGCAATTCTACACAAAGAACAGTGTGCAGAAACGATAGAACAATATGTGCCTACCGCTGATGGTGCAAAGCAAGCATTTTTAATAAAGGATGCAAAAGCCCAATCCTTCATTATACAGGGTGTGTCAGATAAACAACTGGACATTATTAAAGACTGTAAAACCTCTAAAGAGCTGATGCAAGCCCTAAAAGATGTTTTTGTAAGAGTTAGTTCATTTGCAAAGTTAACCCTATGGAGAAAATTATTCAGTTTAAAATCAAATAATAATGAAAGTTTAGAAGACCACTTTCTAAAGTTCGATACCATAATAAGAGACCTACAAGACTTAGGTTCACAAATTGATGAAACAGACAGAGTTTGTCATTTATTATTGTCCCTCCCATCAGAGTACGATACACTTATCACAGCATTGGAAACTGTTAGTGACGTGAAAATGGATTTTGTGAAAGCCAGGCTGCTTGATGAAGATCTAAAACTAATATCTAAGACTTTCAATGAAAATAAAGCTGGTAGTAGTGACTACAGATTAAATACCTCTACAAGCTGCTATACTTGTGGTGATAAAAATCATTTTAAAGCACAGACTCCTAAAAGAAACTTTTATGGACGGTTTAATAGAGAAAGAGGGCGTAGAAGTAGAGGTTTCAAACGAGAGTTTAATAGAAATACAGAACAAGCAGAGAACAACATCGTGTTAGTGGCAATGAGCGTAAACTATCAAAATGATATATTAAAAGACAATGTTTTTGTGTTAGACTCTGGTGCAAGTAATCATTTTGTAAAAGAATAACTGGAACAGTTTATGATCAATATAAATGAACTGGAACAAGTGATATCAGTGCACATTGCAAATGGTCAGGTTCTGAAAGCCAAAAAGAAAGGGGAGCTGCAGGTAAAATGTCAAGGTACAAATATGACTATAGAAGCTATAATAGTACCAGGTATAAAACATAATTTACTCTCAGCTGCTAAATTGACATCAAGAGGTCATAAAATAATTGTTGAAAAGAATATGACAAAAATAATTGGCAAAAATTTTAAAATTATTTGTAAAATGATAAACATTTTAAAATTTGATAATATTGTGCATGTAACTATAGAAAATAAAAATTTATGGCACAGACTAGGTCATGCTAACAGAAAATCACTTAAACAGTTAGGTCTCCCTGTCTCAGATAAAAATTGTAATTGTTCGTGAAACTCACATATTCAATTTAATTTTGCATAGTAAATCCACGTAATAATTTCAAGCCAACCCTGCCTTTTGTCTCTGCAATACCCAACGGTCATTGTATCAGCTCATTTATTAAAATCCCTTCAGATTGTTTAATATCATTTCTTTTATCTCACTTCTTCCCATGATGCTAAGAGTAACGGGTAGACAGTGATTACTCGAATAGTTTTCTGGACCGATGAGATGGATGCTGGGGTTGAAGCGACGCTTGCGCTGACCGGCTTCCGCCCCAATTTTGAAAACGAAGCGAAAACAAAGAAATAAAAAACCATCTGTTGTCTTGTTGATCCCTTGTGTTTTAGTCACGCCATGTTGCAAAATTTGCGAATAGATTTAAATTGACTTAGTGTTTTTCACCTCAAGAGTTTATAAAATTCTTGAAAGGTGAACCCTTTTTCGCAGTTTGTGAATTCCCGGTATATTAAATATTTACCGGCCTCTTTGTGCACCATCCTCATCGGTTACACCCATTCTCAATAAACAAGTGAAAGCTATTGGTTTGTTGAACATTGAGGAGTTAAGATAAGTACCCTTTTTATTATTTTTAAGTCGATAGCCAAAGGGCTAAGGAGAGCGAATAACCGCGAGATAAAGAGGGAGTGGAATGGTACCAGACATTTTGTGAACGTGAAGCGTTGTTTGTGCTCGCTTAATTATTTTTTTGTCCTAGTTTAGTGAACATTTTTGCTTAGTTTTTAACCCCCTTTTTTTATGTTACCTTAGGCGAGTTCGGATAGTCAGGGGCTGGAGCGGGACAAATTTTAGGGTGCTTTTAATGACATTTAAGCGTGTTAAACTGTCACTAATCGGACTAAACCGAACGCTAAAAGGGTCGTTTGGAGTTAAAAGTGTTAAAGAAGTTAAAGGAACTTGGCAGACCGAACGCAATGATTGTACGTGGTCATGTGCACATGTACTTATGGTATATTTCTGCCTATTGTTGT